CATCGCGCGTGGTCCACTGTGAGCGAACAGTACTGTCATCATCAGCAGCAGGTGCAGCAGAGGCGCCAGACGTAAGATAAAAAAGCGAGACTCCGTCCTTGCTATCGCACTGCAGAAACAGCTGCAGATCATCGACCCAGACCTCGAAATCAACTGCCCGACCCTCAGCATCGAAGGAAAGTACATTAGGGGTAGCCATGACAGCGGTAGCAATAGTAGTAGCAGTAACAACAGCAGCAGTAGCAGGAGCAGCGCGACTCGGCAGGGCGGCGCGGCTCGGCAGGGCGGCGCGGCTCGGCAGGGCTGTGCGGCTCGGTAGGGCGGCGCGGGTGCAGCGGTGCGCTTACCAGGGCGGGATCGGGGTAGGGCCGCAGCTGGAAGGGCAGGGCCGAGGCGCGCCGGCAGGTCAGGGCCGCAGCGACGGCGGCAGTAGGCAGGGCCGCAACAGCAGCAGTAGGAAGGGCTGCGGCGACTGCAGGCAGGGCCGCAACAGTTGCAGGCGCCGCGACGGCAGGGGGCGCGACGGCCAGGGGCCGCGACGGCAGGGGGCGCGACGGCCAGGGGCCGCGACGGCAGGGGCCGCGACGGCAATGGCCGCGACGGCAGGGGCCGCGACGGCCAGGGGCCGCGACTGCAGGGGGCGCGACGGCCAGGGGCCGCGACTGCAGGGCCGCGACGGCTCTAGGCAGGGCCACGACGGCACGGTAGGCGCACGGGGCGCAAGGAAGGCAGGCGCACGGGGCGCAGGTAAGGCAGGCGCGAGGCGCTCGATAGGGCAGGGAGCGCGCCTCGGGCAGGGCAGAAAAAATATTAAACGGAGGGCCAAAAAAAAAAACGGTCCCACTAGGGAACTCGCTCTATACCATGTGAAGAATGAACGAGGGAATGGATCAAATAGGAAGCAAGTGGGTACAAGTATGAAAACTTAAAAGAGTTGTACCTCATATTGTGTACCCCACTACAGCCTACAATGTAGTTCTGACATTACAAGACATAATGGTGGAGAAGAATATGACGCCAAATAAAGATATTGCTGCCAAGATGGAAGGGAAAAGCGTACAGGACGCTGAGGATGATTTTATGTGACAATTAATTTGTGTGACCCCATACATGTATGTATCCCAGCACTCAATAAAGTCGTACAACAGTATATATGCTCGTATTATTTATTGTATTATTTATTGTGTTATTTATTGTATTATTTCTTGTATTGTACTACAAAAGTTGTAGCCCAGTCATCACAGCGAAGCATGCTCAAAACGAGTTTTTCCAGCCAGAAAATACCTGAATTCAACACCTGAATTTTCTGTGGCGCATTGAAACATTTGGACATTGCCGGGAGGCGCACATTGAGGGCGCATCACCTCGGGGTTGGAAGGCCGAAATCCGAACATACGTAACGAATTCACTGTACGAACAGTTTTCCGACAAGATTCGAACACAAATTTGAACACCCTGGTGAATGTGACAGCTCGTGACGAGAGGTGACAGCCTGTTCGAACATGCGACGTCGCCAAGTGCTGGACGACTTCGCGAAACGTCGCAAGAAAAGAAATTAGTCGTCTGCATAGTGACATTTGCAATGGTCGCAAACATATGTGTGCGACCCGAAGCCTGATAACCAATCAAATCAGTCGTCCTTGCGGAATCCTTGTTACCAATCCCAACTTGTTCGAACAACTCTGTTCGAACGTGCGGAATGGAGAGCCTCGTGCCCCATGTGACAGCTCTGTTCAAATTCGCGAAATTTCCGACTAGCGACGTCACGAACACCCATACGAAAAGTGGCGAAACGTATAACATTTCGCCTGTTCGAACGAGCGTGCTGTTCGAACTGAGAGGTGAAGCGCCATGAAAGCCAGAGCCGCAGCAAGCCCGACGTTCACGGTTACGTGAGTCCAGCCTGGCTTCTAGTCGAGATTGGTTCTCCACGATTTTGTGCGTTTAAGTTCCAAAGAGGTCCCGTGCAGAAAACGTTCGAGGACAGTGGCGTGTAGCTTCCGAGTCGGAGCCGCGTTCTGAAGCAACTGAAGCTGGGCTGTGAGAACACGGCAATAATTGTGGGATTCAGATCAGCAGCACCGACGTCTCACAGACAGCGACTCCTCTGCCTGCATTGCCTTCGCAAATATCTCGCCACAAATCTGCAGGCAAAAAAATGTTGTACAAACTTGAATCAGCGCTTTGTGCAAGCAATTCTTTCTCGACAGTTTCCAGCTCTGGTTTGCACCGAAAACTCACGTCCGCACTTCGCCGAGTCTGAATCGACGGTTAAACCACTCCAGACATAGAACAATCCTCTCCCTCCCACCCCTGGGCTCATACTTCTCGTTGTCATTAGCGAAAAATCATGTCGAAATTCACGGGTAGAGTTCTACTGCTGCTTGCTCTTCTCACCGCCGTCTCCCTCTCGCCACTTCCCATCGCATCCGCCGGTGCACCGAGGCGCGTCGCCCGCACGCGTCAGGCGCACGCAGAGCTCCGCCGGCAGCGCCGGCTGACCGACATTGGAGTGGATATCGGCGCTATCCATACACGAACCAAGCGCGCCGCAGCTCTCGCCGTGCGGCATCAACCCAAAAGGGTTGGAGCTTTTGCGGTCGCCGTTTCCCGAATGAGTCAGTGGACCTTGCGGTCGCCGTTTCAGATTTGCGAAAGAGACAGATTACTTTTGCTTGTTATCTCAACGGTCACCAACTGTTTCTCAATGCTTCGATTGCGCATTCCGAATCTCCACACACACACAGGTGCGACTCTCGGGGACAGTCAACGACAACTACTCCGCCGGCAAGCAATTTGGCGAAAACACAGTCTGGCAAGGTACGCAGCCATCTAGGCTTCAAGCCGCGCGTCACTGGGTTGAGCTGTGAAGTCTTAGTCTCAGAACTACAGCATATATTGCTTGCCGTACGAAACTGCATATGCTGTGAATCCGTAGTTGCAGCAATGAAGGTAATGCTGCATCTAGGTCTAACCACGTGCTTTTCTCTTTCCTTCGCAGTTGTTTCAAGCAAGATTGGCTCCGGAAAGGCATTCGCGTACGATCCCCACGGTATCTACTTACTTTTGACAAGCAAGGATGTTATGGTCCCCGGTTACTGTAGCGATTATTGTGGATATCACACCATGGACTATATCGGATCGAATGGAGTTGTGTATTCGTTCGTGGGTCATCACGGGCAGTGCGCGGACGGATGTGGGGGGCAGAGCACGTCGCCCAACGGGAGACCTGCGATTGATGCGACGGTTTCCACCATCGCGCACGAAGTCGCAGAGGCAGCGACGGATCCTGATGCTGAGTATGGATGGTTCGACGCAGCAGGAGAGGAGAATGCGGACAAGTGCTCTTACGAGGTCGGGGCGACGAAAAAGGGTCGCGACAACCGTGGTAACACGTACGAGTACAATCTCGTCGGAATGAAGGGCATGCGGTTTCTGATCCAGCAGAATTGGGACAGACTGAAGAACAAATGCGTGTCGCAGAGGAGAGATTCTTGAGACACTGGCGCAGAATCCAGATCAATGCTGGCGAAAGTCGAATAAGTGGTGCTGCAGTGCCCGCGCGTGGCGCCATGGGATCTTCTGCGCCCTTTGGAGTGGCGAAAGCTGAAAAGAGGACGTCGCCAGGTTCAAATTTGCAATGTACGATACTTCGTGGGCACAATAGACCATGTGCTATAGACCGCGTTTTTCTTGGAAGTAGGTGCATAGTCACTACTTCATGTAATTTCCTATCACCTGGATGTCATGTATTGGTCCCTCGTGGGTGTGGCTCCCTTCAAGCTCGTGGACCCTCATCATTTTAGGTGTGGCTGTGGCTGTCAGATTGAACAATGGGAGAAGCGCAGGAGGGGAGGGGGAGTTAGGCGGATGTGTGTTGAGGGCCCAAGTTGAGGTGCGTGTTGTGCCATCCCGTGCTGTGCGTAGCCCCCATCCTTCCCCCACCTCCCTCTGCAAGAACCTTACTTCAATATAAGCATTTATTGTTATGAAACAAGATATGGCTGAACATGACCCCCGTTCAGTAAGGGTAGGGGGCAACATAAAGCACTCTTAGAGAAAAAGCCTACCATAATCAGCTTGCTCAGTATTCTCTTGTGTGCAGAAGGCCAAAACGACCCCCATTGTGTAGCAGGTCGTGTGTCCAGTCCAGGTTCTTTTGAGTCAACTCATGTGAAAGAACGACTCAAACATCCAGGGAACGGGTTCCACAGAATGGGCTTGCTCAGTATGCTCTTCCGTGCAAAGAGCTCAGCCTCAGGGGGACCCCCTCGGTGTAGGGGGTAGTGCTTCCAGGTGGTTAGTGGGAACTGGGGGTTGGCGTTTGTCTCCCCCATAAGATGGTTTGCAGTGTTCACATAAATAATAGGGCGGTGTTTCGCCTGCTCGTCCTTCTGCGATTTGAGGGAATCAGGGGAGTGTGGGGATGGAGACACGATAGGAGGAAGGAGGCTCATACATGGGAACAAAATGGATGATAGACTCAAGTGTGGGGTAGAATTTGGGGTCCAAGGACCAAAACGGGGAGTAGGGAGGGCGATATGGGGACTGGAGATGACGGAATGGGGGCCGGAGAGGTCGGAATGAGGGATGAAAGGGGGTGGTATGGGGAATGAGGTGAGACGGTGGAAGGTGAGGAAGGGTGACGGAGGAATCGAAGGGGTGAGAATACAACAGGAAGTGCAATGCAGAATAGGGGAGGAATGGAGTGAGGAAAACGTTGATGCAATAACTGTTTAATTGCTGCATTCCACAGCAGAACAAATGGTTTGGAGACTAAACTACAGCAAGAAATTTGCTGAGCCAAGCTGGCAGACTATTAGTCTTCAACACCCTTCCTATTTAACTGACCAAATGTCAAAACCTCCACAGCTTAAAGGTGGAAGGTACTTGAGTACCTTGAATCTACCGAATAGGTTATGTACTGATCTATCTCATAGGGTATCTCGGCAGTGTTTTGATAGACGAGAGTCAAGGGCGACTCTAACACGGTACCATACCTGCAGGTCCTCATAGGGCAGGTCCACAGTGTAGTGATGGAAGAGAGAGAGCCACCACGCTAGATCGGCCTTGTTGCCCTGCGACCATGTCTGCTCATCAGCGCACAAGCAATCAGATGCATAGAAGTCACAAAAATAACTGTCAGATGCATAGCCGTCAGATGCATAGCCGTCAGATGCATTGCCGTCAGATGCGTAGCAGTCAGATGCGTAGCTGTCAGATGCATAGCCGTCAGATGCATAGCCGTCAGATGCATAGCCGTCAGATGCATAGCCGTCAGATGCATAGCCGTCAGATGCATAGCCGTCAGATGCGTAGCCGTCATATGCATAGCAGTCAGATGCGTAGCCGTCATATGCATAGCCGTCAGATGCATAGCCGTCAGATGCATAGCCGTCAGATGCATAGCCGTCAGATGCGTAGCCGTCATATGCATAGCAGTCAGATGCGTAGCCGTCATATGCATAGCCGTCAGATGCATAGCCGTCAGATGCATAGCCGTCAGATGCATAGCCGTCAGATGCATAGCAGTCAGATGCATAGCCGTCAGATGCATAGCCGTCAGATGCATAGCCGTCAGATGCGTAGCCTTCAGATGCATAGCCGTCAGATGCATAGCCGTCAGATGCATAGCCGTCAGATGCATAGCCGTCAGATGCATAGCCGTCAGATGCATAGCCGTCAGATGCATAGCCTTCAGATGCATAGCCGTCAGATGCATAGCCGTCAGATGCATAGCCGTCAGATGCATAGCCGTCAGATGCATAGCCGTCAGATGCATAGCCGTCAGATGCATAGCAGTCAGATGCGTAGCCGTCAGATGCTTAGCAGTCAGATGCAAAGCCGTCAGATGCGTAGCAGTCAGATGCATGTCAGATGCGGGTGGATTCAAAGCAGAGTCGAACATCGTCAGTTCAAGGAGCAGCATTGCTACTTGTGATGCTCCTAAAAAACGCCAAACCGCACCACACTCCCATGGTTTCTTGCCATCTTGAGCACAAGACTTTCCTCATACTGACTCTTGTTCCTCTCACCCACTCTCAATCCTCTCTGGTCTGCCGTATTCCCTTCGTGATCCTATCACTCACCTTGTCGCCCATTCTCTCGCCTTTTTGCCTCGTGCGCACCTGTTTGCTCCAGTGGCTGGTAATCCGCGCGCTCCTCTCTTCCTCACCCTGTCACCGTCTGTGGTCCCTTTCCTCCCTCCTCACCTGATTGCCGCAGTGTGATAAGCCTATTTTTGAGTCGACTCAAAAATAGGCTTTTCCTCCCTCCTCACCTGAGTGCCGCAGTGATCAGTGGTGCGTACGCTCCTCCAGGGATGCATGCTGGGGTCCAATGAGAGGTTGACACCTGTTATCGTTAAATAGTCAATGTCAGCAGTTCGGCCAAACCTGCAGGCAATGCATAGGAGTCAAAGAGGGATGATGTCAAAAAGACGGCCTACTGTGTGGTCATAGATTGACCTGTACCAGGGAATCGAACATAAGCAGCATTGGAGAAGAAGGAATGTCTGAAGTGAAACAGATTGGTGGATGAGAACGGGTCGTACACTATCTTGTTGAAAGACATGTAGAAAAAGGTGGCCATATGGTTGACCTGATAAGGGTTCACCCGACGATAGCTCGCCTCGCCCTGCCAGTGACGTAGAAAAAGGAACCGAACGTAAGACGTGTCATGCGATAAGGTGACGTCAGTAAAGGTGTTGCAACAAGTCGTTCGCTCACTTGTCCAAAACATTGCCTATTATATCCTGGAAAAATAAAGCGTAGCAGCTCAGAGAACACGGTGCTCGATTCTTACTTCTCCTGCCTCACCTCGTACACCACAACCAGCTCGCACAACAGGTCATCAGCGTTACTCCCGTTTACAGCTTCCCCTCTCGCCTCTCCCCCGTTCTCCTCTCCAACGGCTCCGAGTAATCCTCCCGCCAGTTCCGCTCCATTCCCCTCCTCTCGTTCCCCGGTCTTCCCCCATGCTTCCGCAGCTTCCTCCCATTCCACGAAATCTTCCCCCCCAGCCATGTAGTCCGTCCATTCCTTTCCGCGCGAGCGGACCTCCGCCTCCTCCCCCTCCCGCACGAAGCGGAAAAACACGCGCACGAGCGCGTGACCGGCGTGAATGTCGTGCGTCGGATGCAGGAAAATCGGCGCGCACTGACGCAGCCAGTTCCGTTCCAAGCTCGCTCGCCGAGCCAAGCCCGCCGACTCCGTTCCAACTGGCGTACCAGACTTTGTTGATTTCCGGGTATCGGTATCAGCTGAACATTGTACTGACAAGCCTTGCCTCGAGAGGTCTGTCTTCGCGGTGCCATTGTCAGTGGTCGCATAACCATCCGTGTGGTTTGGGATAGCAGCTGTTGTTGCCTTCGTGGTAGCTGACCCATCAGGCTGGCTGGTGTGTCCGTTGGTGCTCGGATAGGAGCCATTGGCGGATGGTTGAGAAGATTCGGAGAAGCCGACAGAGGAAGAATCGTTTCCGTCGGTCATTGTCGATTTCAAGGCAGTTCGTCGGTGGATTAGCAATGACTGGCTTTCCCACTCTCTATCAACAGATGGATATCCCATATAAAAAGGTGGGAACGAGAAACTGGTACGGCTGCTCTTGTGATCAATAGAAACCGTAAGCGACTAAACGACTAGTGAGTGACTCATCCCTGCAGTTGACAGTTACGCGCGTAATGGATGATAAACTTCCAATCAGGAACTAAAGAAACGCCGGGTAGCTATTAATTAAGTATTGACTGATAGTATATTTTCCCGGGTTAAGCTAGCCACGGGAATATGAGGAGTTGAAGTATTTACAGCGGCGACAGGGATTCTCGCTGTCAACAATGGGAGTCGGTGGAGTCCTCCCACTAGTAGTACGTGACTGCTTACTATCGTCTATGTTCTACGACAGAGTATTACGTATAAAGGCTTTTTATCTGTAATTGGTGTCTAGCTGGAGACGAGCTCTCTGCAGCTTCCTGTCATGAAGTGCCTGCGTCCTACGGAGTTCTGGAGCGACAATGTCTCTTGCGATGGCACAACACGCTGTTTAATCAGGCGTCGGCTTCAGCTATCAACAGTCCTGGGAATAAATATTTAGACGTCGTAAGGACTTCTGAAATCCCAATGACGTGCCTACTTTCTCGGGTTCAGGAACGGCAACTTCACCAGAGCCTGCAGCGACATTCCCGAGGAATGCACGCGCGTCAGCGATACACAAAGCTGGTCAGGCACTTCCGTTCCAGTGCAGCCCGCAACGAATCTTTTCACGATGGAGAATGGTGAAGTGTGGTTCTGAGGAGTCAATCACTCAGAGCAGCATACTTCGGGAGGTATTTGTTTTTCCAGAGACATGTGGCTGAAAAGCAACGGCGACAGAACGGAATGTAACTGGCTGGCAGCCCTCTTCATAACTTCGGCATATGCGACTGGGATGATGAAACATGCTTTGAGGCGGTGTTTTCGGTTCCACATCTGGGCCGAGACGTGGGTGTCAGACGAGCGCCTCGGAGTAAACCGTTTGAGCCAATGAGTGGCTCTCATCCCAAGCAACAAAGTTCGCGTTGGTGCTACCCATCAACCCTACCACGGTGAGGAGCTAACCATTCGGTCAATGACGGTTTGTGAAGATACATAGTCTTAAACATTGTAATATTTTCTTACACGAAACTATTTTGAGAATGTTGAATTGTTAATACCGCGTCCTCCACCTGTCCCTTATGTAGTGATTACTTCATTTATCGTGTTTCTATAAACGCATATATGTATGCTGATGCAAATTATTGTGGGCTTGTGGCCAGGAGGCTTCACTGGTTTAGATTCCATAGTTTTGACCCTCTTATGTCAAAGGCAACAAAATTTATTGTACGGTAGGTTAGAAGCAGCAAATATCTTATACGTTAGAAGCAACAAAATACCTTCAAGCCCGTAGCTAAAATAGTGACACCATTGTCCTACAAGTGCAGTGCTGTGCAGCCGACTTGCTGCAGCGTTGGCACATCGTGGACTTGCAACGTTGGCAAACCGCTACTCTGCAATGCTGGAGCGGTGCGAGCTCTGTTCCGCTGGATCGCGGTCGACCGTGCTGCGCTGGAGGTCGACAAGCAGCATTGCTAGCTCTGATGTAGTCTGTGTTGTTAATGTTGTTGCAATCATTGTTGTCAACTTTCCTTAGTGAAACTCTTGCCAATTCTCCCCGTAAACTAGCAAGTAGTGTGCGCACAAGGAAACGACTAAGGGAAAGAACGCAGAGATCACCCCTACCCCGTGCCTAGCCCGTAGTGCAGCTCCCGTTGAAGTAGTTATCTCCGCAATATATGCGTTACTACCATAAGTAAGTGCGTTACTTAACCATGTGGATTGTACCAACAATAAGTGCGTTACTTACCCATATGGATGGACCACGATTAAATGCATTGTTTACCCATATGGATGGTACCAAGAGTAGGCGCGTTACTTAACTATATGGATGGTACTAAGAGTAAGTGCGTTACTTTCCCATGTGGATGGTACCAAGAGTAACTGCGTTACCTACCCACGTGGATGGTACCAGGAGTAAGTGCGTTATTATATCATGAGTAAGTTCTTTACTTACCCATGTGGATCGTACCAAGGGTAAATGTGTTACTTACCCATATGGATGGTACTAAGAGACTTACCTATAATAAAGGTACCAAGAGTATGTGCGTTATATTCCCATGTGGATAGTACCAAGCAGAAAGTGTGTTTTTTAACCATATGGTTGGTACCAACGGTAAGTGCGTTAATTACCATTATGGGTGGTTCTCATAGTATTACGTGATTTACCCGATGGATTGTACTATTAGTAAGTGCGTAAATAACCATATGGACGGTACTAAGAGTAAATGCGTTACATACCCATATCGATGGTACCGAGAGTAAGTGCATTACTTACCCATGTGGATGGTACCAAGAGTAGGTGCGTTACTTAATTATATGGCTTGTACTAATAGTAAGTGCGTTGCTTTCCTATGTAGATGGTACCAAGACTAAGTGCGTTACTTACCCATGTGGGTGGAACCAAGAGTACGTGCATTGTATACACATATGGATGGTACCAAGAGTTATTGTGTTAGTTAACCTTAGGGATGGTACTAAGAGTAAATGCGTTGCTTACCTCCGTGGATGGTGCCAAGACAAAGTGTGTTATCATCATGAATAAGTTGGTTACATACCCATATGGATGGTACCAATTGAAAGTGCGTTACTTACCCACATGGATGGCAGCAAGAGTAAGTCGTTATTTACCGATATGGATGGCACCTAGAGTAATTGCATTACTTAACCATATGAATAATACTAAGAGTAGTGCGTTACATACCAATATGGGTGGTCCTAATAGAAAGTGCGTAACTTACCCATACGGATGGTACAAAGAATAAGTGCGTTACTTATCCGTGCGTTGAAGACACAAGTTTTTTTGGAACGTTTTGAGAGGTTGAAGTGCTATAAGTTTTGTTTTTACACCCCCAGTCGAGTCTCGATGTGAACAGGGAACATTTGGAACTTTTCTACAATTTTGATTGGCAGCGACTTTCACTCACTTGCCAGTGCGAATTTGGCGCAAGTTTTCAATGCTATGTCTTCAGACAAGGAGTTGTCAAACTTCACATCAAGCAACAACATTGGCAAAATCCAGCGTACGCACATATGCACGAGATGACAGTGGAACACCATAAAGGTTGTCCGACGAGCTAGCAGAGATGTGAAAAAAGTGTTTCTTTGGACTTGTAGTCGAGGCGATAGAATAGGGAGTTGAGAAAAAAAGAACGAACGGAAAAAAAAATGATGAACAAGGCGAGGAGGAACGACGGGATAGGAGGGGAGAGAGGCGAAACGACGGCATAGGAAGGGGAGAGAGGCGGAACGACGGGACGGGAGGGGAGGGAGACGGAACGACGGGATGGGAAGGGGAGAGGGGCGGAATGACGGAATGGGAGGGGAGAGAGACGGAACGATGGCGTCTCAAAAATTGCGAGGGGCCCAACTCACCCCCAAGGCAGGTTACCTAGGGGCTACCTACGCCAACTTCATGCAAACTCATCCCAAAGAAGACCCGAAGTCACAACCAGGTAGCGAAGTTCACCACAGACTAGGTACAGGGCCCAAATGATCCAACCGAATACTGGCGAACAAATTTCGCGTCATGGCGAAAATTCGCCAACAGTAACTGGCATTGGAGACATCATACGATTTCTGAAGTCAAACAACACCACCAATGCAACTTGTCCAGCACAGCACAGTCGTGACTGATATTTTCTTGCATCCTCGCTGTACTGCTTGGTCATCAAAATAAAACCATCGTCACTTCCCGTCCATATACTGTACCCACACAGGCAGGTTCGGGCAGATTGCATGCCTGGTTCGGCTGCCAGCTGACACAGGATAGCGAATGAAATTGTGAGTGTTCAATTTCTTGACGCCACGTCGCTGACCGTAACCTGTGGTCGAATCTGTTCAAGACACGTCGCATCCCTTGACCTGTACTGCCCCTCGCTACCCCACCCCATCCTGCATGCCTGCTCCAACCATGCGTTCGTCCCCAGCTGCACCTTCAAGAGTCTCGCTGTTCATTTCTTGATTCATTCGTAATCCTCTGTCATACGTTTCTCCTCACTCTCTTAG